CTTTGAACCTGTTTTTGTAATTCCTTCCCATATTGTTCATTCAAGGTTTCCTTCATTTTGCTATGCTCCTTTAAAAAAAAAAATCTATGTTTTTTTTCTATTATGTTTGCCACTTCTTGTTTTTTCTGAGATGTTATTTCTGTTCTGATGACTTTTACAGTCTTATGAAATTGTTTCTTTACTTCAGTTACCATTATCTGAGAAATTTCAGGGGTGTAATTGCTGATTTCTTCCATTCCTATGTTTCCTGGACCTGTTCTGTGTGGACTGGAGGCTACAGATTGCCTTTTGCTTCTTCATCTTAATGCTTGTTTTCCTGGGATCTTCCAAAGGAGCCAGTTCTCAGGCACTTCCCCACTGGCTCAGTATAAGGGAGTGGACCTGTCATCTGGGTTTTGTGGCCACGACATGTTCTCAGGGAGGTGTTGGGGTAGGGGGCTGCTTTGTCAAACCCATGTGGCTACACTCAATAGGCTTCCCCAGTGACCGGTGTGCATGTGGGTACAGAGTTGTTTGTTGCTTCTCCTGGGCTGCCCTGGTTACCTGAAGGAATCCCCTCTGTTCAACCTCAATTTTTTATTTTGCAATAAATTAGCAGCCTTGGTGTTATTACATATTCGTTTATCTATTCTATGTGATATATATTTTCCAGCCAGAATTTAAATTTCCTAGAGGAAAGACTTTGCTTTCTGATCTACTTACTCATCTCTTGAAACAGTTTTCTATATAGTAGATTCAAAAATGACCACTTATACGACTAATAATATGGAAAGGCACTAAATTTCTTTCTCAGGAATGCTGCATTTATTATACCAAAATAAAGTTTTCATTTAAGATAAATTAAAAGTTTTGGAAATTTCCTTCTTATTTGCCAACAAAATATGACATTTAAAAGGAGAATATGTATTCATTTAGGTTATAAACTCCCACAAGACTAAAAATCTATCCTTTTATGTTTGTTATCAGAAACAGCCTATTATGAGGGTTGAATTAATATGTATCACAATTGATTTAAAATGCATGGTGTTGTGCACTGGTATTCAACCAACATCTATATTCAATTAAATAATCATTACAGTTGCCTGCGTTGGTGCATTACACTAATGGCAGGAGCTACTTTCAAGGGATAGATTTTGTTGCGGAATTGTATAGGTGGCATGTTAAATCTGGGTGAGATGCAGAAATTTGATATTTTGTTCTCATACATTTGTCTGCATAGATTGGAGAGTCATTGCTTATGAGTATCTAATTTTAAAATATTCTTGTAGATGTAAAAGAAAACAAAGGAATCCCTCACTTTTATTGAGCTTTGGAGATAAACTGAAGAGCAAATTTGCATTAATTTTAGCTGTAAAATGTGTCACTTTTTCCTCGTAGTTGAATTCTCAGGCAACATTTCCTTCTGTAGCTAATTCACCTGCTCTGCCAGGTGTCCTAATCCACCATTTATATAAATATTTGTAAAATTCTTCCTATTTTATCATTCTGTTTTTGTGTGTATTAGAAAAACCAGAGCCTGAGACAATCTGCCAGAGAAGAGCAGCATTTCCAGTTCTCTTTTGGTCTCTCTTGTACTTGGCTAGCATAAGACAAATATTTCTGAAATAAATGGAATCGTGGTGAATTAAAGAGCAAAAGAAAAAGATAACCTATTATATTTCCAGGAGTCTCGAGTTGTGTTTGTGTGTGAGCATTTTTCCCATATGCTGGTTTCTTTGGGAATTATTTCAAACTCATGTTTTTTTCTCATCATGAAAGTCATTATTGGTTTTGAATTCAGATAGAATCGCACTTAAATTTCACCTCTCTCAGCCCATACAACTGCCATAGTGAGTACATAACTTGATCTCTCTAAAGTTTAGCATGCTTATGTATAAAATATGCAACTGTAGAACAGAGGCCCTATATGGTTGACTCTGTACTGTACATTGGTGCCCATGAGTCATCTTCTCCACGTAACCTTCTTCGACCATGCCATGCAAAAGTACCCCCTGCACTGTGCTACAAAAAGCATCAAACATGGCCTGAAGTCTGTAATGGAAGCGCATTCCATGAATGACTCCAGAACTGGGACTCTAGAATCCTCTGCTTGTCATATGTATTTGCTGAATGAATGAAATGACATCAGTACACCTAATGTGAACACACATATTTTTAAAAATATTATAGAATTCTACATTTGCACAGACATTCAGAGTAGACTCCACCTCACCCCACACCCAAAACAAAGAAACAAACAAAATACAAAGAGTGAGCTTAACCAACAACACAAACTTGAATCCCATTAATGAATGTTCAAAATAAATCACTTTATACTGATGCCAGACTTACATTTTCTGAAAAGAAGAATCTTACCTATACCTGTACTCACTGATTTTAGTCATTTCGTATTGCTTTCATTTGCCTAGAAGCAGGTTAGCATAGTGGAAAACATTACAAAATTAGCAATTAAAATTTAAAATTTTAGTTCTTTCTTCTGTTAATTAGCTGAACAAAATTAGAAGTGTTGATAAGTAATGTCCCTGGAAGACAATCTTGCTTAATTTCGTTTTGAATCATTGCTATAGTTTGAAAGAGACAGAGAGATGACTGACTTATTTCATTGTTGAGAATTCTGGCAATTCTTGGCTTCTTTACTGATTTGGTTCTACAAAGTTGGAAAAAAATTCTGAAGTTAGAAAATCGGTTTTAAGCCATCCTGGTGTTTTCACTGCAAGTATCATAGTAAATCATCTTGAATCTATTTTCTGTGGTAACCTACTTTTTAAGAAATCATGACCGTTACTCTAAAAATGTTAACTTGTTAACACTGGTTATGTATATTTAGGGAAAATAAAAATATCTGCAGTCAGGTAGGATTTTATTTAAATTATGTATAGACTGAGGTCAATTAATATTTCTGAGTCAGTGTTTTTATCTGTAAAATGGATACAATAATTTCTAACTTTCAGGGTTTCTGGTAAGATTAAGTTAATTAATGTCTCTAATGTATACAGCTCAAAGTACCACAACTAATGTATAACTTCTTGTTAATGAAATAAAAGGCACCATAAATAAATTATATTAGCTTACAGAATACTATTGTATATTTTTATTTAATTCTTAAAAATAACACAATTTATGCATAGTCTTAAGTCATAGAAGCTTTGCAGTTGTAAGAAGAACAGACATGATAGAACTTTTTCTGCATTTCTGTGTAATTGCCAACAGAGATCTGCCAGTTACCCAGACAACGATTTCATCATCTTACTAAATTTATATAGACTCTGTTTTTGTTCTTTTCTATACTCTAACCAACACTCTAAAGTTCTGTGTGCATGTGAATTTCTCTGTGGGTTATATATGGAGGATTTGGAAGGACTCAACTGTAGATTTTAGATAGGTGGTAGTCATGGTTTATATCTAGATGTCCCTGAAAAGCCTCACATGCTCCAGGTGAGGGAATTGGAGAGGATTAGTGAACTGGTACATTTATAGATAACTGTACATTTTGGGGTAGAGCCTGGTCGATGGAGGCAGGAATATGGGTGCATGTCTTGGAAAGATGTATCTCCGTCCCATAATCTGACTTACTTTTTTTCCCTCTCTCTTTGCTTCTCCACTGCTGTGTTGTGAGAAGTTCTTTACTGAACTGTCCTGTTTTGTAGCCAGCCAAGTATGGACTAAAACCTCTACAAACTGTAAGTCAAAACAAATATTCCTCATTTATGTAATGAGTGTTGGGTATTTCATCCCAGAACCAATGAAAGTGACTAAGACAGTGGTTTTTAACCTCTCAGCAAGTTTCAGAATTTAATGTTCTTGCAAGATGTACCATTACATTTAAATAATTATAGCAGGGGCCAGGGAAACAGCTCAGCAACACAGCACCTGCCTGGCAAGTGCAAGGTCCTGAGTTCAATTCTTGATACCAAAAGAAATTAAAATACCAAAACAAAAAACAAAACAATAGCAACAACAATAAATAAACAAATGATTACAGCAAATGATTCCAAGAATGGCACCAGTGATACAAGCAGATACTCAGAATCTTTTGAATGGTCACATGATGATGTACTCTTCAGTTAACATTCTTATTCTTTGAACGTAGGCCTATTTGATTTGCCACTTGCCCAAGCTGCTTTTAATATTAATTCACTCTTAAATCTCTTCCAGTCTTTCCTCCCAGTTTCAGTGAAAGTTTATCCTTCATTTCTCTCTGGATTTCGTACCTTATCTTAATAATCTTTACAAATTCTCACAGTGCCAGAGTCTGGAGCTGACTTTGCATCAATTTTCTGATCCCATGACTCACTCTCCTAGTTAGTTCGCCAAAGTCAAGCTTCTACCCAGTAAGACTTTTTCTATAGACCAGCAGCTCTTCTGGAACTCTGCATATTCCTGCGCTGAGATTCCCTACGGGCTCCACTAGTGCTGCCTTCAAACCTCCAAGTTCATGCCAGCCTCTGGTCTGCCCCACATACACATTCACCTGTATTCCAGACAGATGAGAGGATGGATAGATTCTAGAGTATTTTAATTGGCTAAACCTCAACAGATTCACCTTTTTAGCAATTCTACATATATGAAAAGCAAGGAAACTCAACCATGGAGTTTTGTAAAAGAGTAAGCTTTTCATAGTTTTCGCAGTTTTAATAATTCAGCTCTCTCTGTAATATTAACATGAGTGGCTAAAGCAGCCAAATTCTGAGAAGATATATATTTGACTGATTCTCCTCAATCCATCTGCTCAAACTGGCTGTAGTACAGTTAACTATATGCAGTTTTAAATTTGTGCACATCAGGACTTATGGTTTTAAGGCTAGAAACAGGGATGTTATTAATGTAAAAAGACACTTAAATTTCTCTTAACCTTCTCAATAAAGACATTTAGATTCTTGAAGTGGAAATTCCATATTCTAAAAGAGCTAGGTGAGCTCAAACTTCTGGTTAGAAATCAAGCAACACCCGACCACTTCTAGTTTTCAAAAGTCTCAGACAAGGTATGCACATATTGTTACCTTTATGGTGACTCACTAGCTGCATCAGTTATAATTCTGTCGTGTCTCTCTGCTTTCAGATTTAGACATCTTCTATTGCCCAATTTAAAAAGAAGAAAATCCTCTGGAGCTGCAGCAGAAACATTTGGTCTTCTATAATCCTCAGTTCTTAACTTAACCTGGCAGCTCATAGCGAAGCTGTCGGATCTGCAATCCTAATGGCTCTCAGTTGGCTCCCATGTGTACTGTGTAGCAATCAGGAATGAATGTGCACTGACAACTCATCGTCTCTGCTCTGTGGCTCTACAAACACCCACCCTGAATCAGAATATTATCTCTGTGGCTCATGAGTAAGATACATATGGGCAACTGAGCTGTCGTTAGCTGCGTAAAGACAGTCTATTCTGAGGATGTCCCTAATGTGTACAGAGTCAGACATGAAACTATGGCACGGAGGTGTTTATGAAATATAAGATGGCATGAAGTCAGCTGAATGTTACTTATTCACTGCCATATTTAATGTGAATACCAAACACAAAGCTGAAGAACTCCATCACACATCTAGTGTCCAAAAGAAAAAGAGCAAAACAGGCAAGGAATGTCCTCATTAACAATTGCTCAAATGCTTACTTAGTAAAGATCTTCTTCTGAACTTTGCAGAATTTACATGGTGTTTGTGTGTGCATTTATGTCAATGCATACAGACATGTACACATGCTAGAGTACTGTTACTAAATCAGTGTTGGTAGAAACTTGATGATTTGAGAATGATACTCCAAAAAAACTTATTTTCTATAACCAATATGCTCTATATTGCCCCAATTATAATTGGTGAGATTTTAATATAATTAACATGATCAGTTTCATGGCAGAAGAAACGTTTCCAAATATGTCAAGAATAGGTAAGGAGTTGAAATTTATTGTAGGATTGGAATTTTGTGCTAGTTAAATCAGTTATATTTAATTTTCTTTGCAAAGTGACAATCACTGACAATTGTAAAGTGTGGTTCTCCTTTATAACATGATAAAATACTAATGCATTTATTAGTTCTTGAAGCTTAAAATCACAGTATTCCCTACATCATTGCTTTTGTCATTTTCTACCAACCTCAACCTTAGTCTTTGTACTCATTCCTTGCAGCAAAAAAATCTAGGAAAGGTGTGGCCTCTGCTGCCATAAGCCTAGGGTAAGAGCAAAATTTCTCATGGAACATGAACCCAGACGCTTTCTTATGGTAGGCAAAGGCTTTACCTCTAAGTTACACCTGAAGCATTTTTCAAAAAAATTTTGAGGTGATCTCATGAAGGTGCCAATGTTAGCCTTAGTAGTGCAATCTGCTTGTTTTAGCTCCAGAGGAGCTAAGATTACAAGTGTGTGCCGCCACAGTTGGTAAAAACAAAAATTTCGTTTACGCAATATGTTATTTTAGCAATTCTTGTGATTTTTAAATTCAACTTTATTTTGCATGTTTACCTTTATATTGGATAAATTTCCATATTTCAGCCAAAATAAGTTAGGTATTTGCTATGTTTGCTGGTGACTTTTTAAATGAAGTTTAACAGAAAAATTTACACACATCTATTTTAAAATCTTGTACTTTGTTCATTCTCATCTTTATGTGCTAGTAGCTGATATGAAACAAACTTTGTAATAATCACTAATCTATCCTGAATTTCCTGTGTTAGCTAATCCAATTTGAAACTTAGTTTGTATTTTCTCTTAGAGTGAATCTTCCCATTAGTATAAAAGTTCAGTCTCTCTCCATCTTTTCTTCAGATTCTAAAGAGGTGAGACACAATGAGCATCCTTGTTTTTTTCACCAAAATCTCACTGTTCATATAAAACAAGGGCCTTCCCTTACAGCTATGCTTTTGTTTGATTAAATCTGACACTGTGAATCACCATGTGACATGGTGGAGCTGGAGTCCCCACTGATTCCACTAGAATCTGAGTCCAGTGGGTCTCCTGCTGGCCAAGGTAGCATGAGTCTCCAAAGGTATAGTATTTTGAATACCTCAAAGACTCTCATTTGGCTGTTCAAGCAACATGTATTCACTCATTTTTATGTTTATTAAACAATGTGGATAGCTTCCCAATGGGGTTTCTGTGGTTCTCCATTTCTTTAAAATTATGGAGGACTTATGGATACATCCTTGTTTGAAGATAAACTATTTAACATATGCTCAATTATATTTATTTCATCAAGAAAAGTTAGAATAGCAAGTTTGAATTATCTCTTCCATGCTGACTCAGGGATACAAGAAGTCCCATATTAAAACTCTTTTATGAGGTACTTCTCCATTTTCTTATTTGCTCCCCCATATTTCTCTTGCATCATATCTGCCTTCAAACCTCAGTTCCTTAGATTTTCCCACTATAAACCCATTTTTCCATGCCTGACTTGGAACTGATGGAGGGGTCCTAGCCAGGGCTTCCTTGCTCACCTCAGAGTTTTCAGAAGTAGTGGGACAGGCAGTTAGAAGTGCATAACTGAGGTTTTGACCTGCTACTTTCCACCTCTGTGTCTGTGGGCCAGTTACTTAACGTCTCCTGGCCTCATCTTTAGAGTAAGTTTCTATCTCATAGTGTTGTGGAAAAGAAGTGCATAATTATATGTGAGGCATATCAAACATTCCTCATCTAGGGGAAGCAGTGGGGTAACAACTTTACCTCTTAGATCTCCATTTCTTCCTCTTTTAGTTACTCTTCTCTCATGCTTCAAATTCATGCAGACATTTCTCCTCTTGGTAGGGACTCAGTTAACCAAAGAGTTTGGCTTCCTTCACTGTGCATTGAGAGTTTTACTTATTACTTAACAGATGTATAGACATTTATTCTAAAAACCAAAAGTTATAGTGGAAAATCAAATCAATTCTCATTTTCTATGCTTACAGTGATTTAAAATGAAAATGTTGTTTGGAGCTTTTTGATTCCAGCATCCAGAGTATTTACTTTCTTCTTCCTCATCTTTCTTATTTATTTTGACCTTTTTCTATTTCTGTTTCTCATTTCCTCGATAGCTTGACTGAAGTGTTTGCCTTTCCTTGTGGACTGCTTTGATCTCAAAGTTGTCTCTAGATGTAGCTGGTACACCCAGGCCCCACTACTCACCACCCCATTGCCTCAGCCTGAAAGGCCACTGCCCAGATGTGCTATGAGACAGGTTATGTACAACTCTTAAAAAAGGTAAACTTCATTCATACTTTATGTCCTCAGCACAAATGATCACTGTCAGTTCTGCTGCTCAATGACACTGCCTATATTTCAAGTTGTTTTTGTTATATTACATTCATAATTAGGTGCTTACACTTGTTTGTGAATCATTTTCTTTATTAATACATATGCAATGTTTACATTCCTCATAGGGAATTGGTACATACATTATACATCTTAGTTCCTTTTTTTCATCTATTTCCCTTCCGTCTTCTCCTCCTTCCATCCATCTCCTGATCTCCATCTATGTCTTTTCTTGGTACAGGTTTGCAGAACATAATGTTCACATTATCTTTCCTTTTGTATTCAATGCATCTCAAGGCTCTGTCTTCTATCTTAGTTCTACAATGTTAAATGCATTATTCACATATAAAAATGTTTTTGAATAAATAAACATTATTTGAAATTTATTCAAATGTTCCTACTGAAGATTGGGGAAAAGGGAGAAAAAAGGCAACTTAACAAGAAATTTTTGCGATCAGTCTAAGTACTATTTTTCTTTTATTAGTTCCAAGGTCTTGGATCAAGCTCATCCTCATGTCACACAGAGATTTTAGCATCTCACCTAGCTTGCAACAATTTCATACTTCAAGTCAATCAAACTATTCCAGCCAGTATAGTGTTCCAAGTCATTTTGTGCCCTTGAAGAGTAATAAACTCATATTCTGGAGTCTACCATAAGGTGAGATTTGTTCTTTTATTTTAGTATTCCCTTAATCTATCAATGTCTGTATTAGTAAATGTTCAATAATCATTTGTGATTGTTTGATCAAATGTCTTAGATAATCTACAGATGCATATGCATCAGCAGATTAGCTCAAAAGCTAAAAGAAGAGAGTCTGAGAGCACATAGCTAAAAAAATAAGTCATTACAACTAAATTAATTGTTATAATCCTACTGAAGTGGAGAGGAAATGCTACTGAAGTTTCTTATAATTTTTATATAAGGCCATGTGAATCTTTACTTAAGCATTATGGTTTCTTTCATCTCACTTGTGAGAAAAAGACAGTACTGAACATAAATATTTCATATTTATTATTATTTATTCTATATATCAATGTATATCAATGAATTAACTAGATCTTCAATACACCAAAAAAAAAATTAGAGGACTTTGGCTATGAACAAGATTGGTATCTAAAAAGATTTCCTGGACCTGCTGTTATACATAGATTTTAGGTTTATCTGAGATGTGTGCCAAGCAAGGAACATCATCCATCTCCTCTGAAAAAAACATCTTAAATGTTATGACATTAGCCACTTGCTTATAATTAAAGAATGCTGCCATTTCACCAAGCTTTCATTTACAGGAGAAAGTGCAAATTCCATTTCCCTTGAACTTTAGCTACTTCCAACTTTTTTCTTTGTTCTTTTCTTTAAAGCTTTGCAACAAATGCATCCCCATATGCTTATATTAGTTAATCTAGTATTAAACATATTGGCTTGCAAAATGTTGGCACCCATTAATAAATGTTTTCATTTTTTCATTCTCTCTCTCTTTTTTTAACTTTAGATTCTTCCTTTGACTACACAAGCAACAGCTGTCTAGCTGCCTGCACAAGACTGGATCTAATGCCTCTACAGAAATCTAGGTCAAAACACTTGGAATGCATGAATATCAAACAGAGTTTTCAAAACAGCAAATGAATACATCTTTAACTGGTGACATTTTCCTGTAGCATATGGCTGCAAGCTCAGGGGACTGAATGCTTTTTTGATGAATATGTTCCATCAAAAACTAAGGGATGGCAGTGGGCTTTTGCCACCTTCTGTTTTGTCTTATGAAATGATAATGCAAACTCATAGATAGATGCAATGATCACAAGGCTTTTACCTTCAAACCTGTTCTAAAGATGCATCATTGTTCCTTTTGGACAAGTTGCTTTGTCTTCAATTGGGTTTGGCTTTATATACAGTTGTCAAAGGTGGTAGCCAATGAGAGAGAGAGCTTTCCTTGTACAGCAGACTTTGGTGGAAAACTTTTAGAATTGAACTGAAAAGCAAGTAATCACCAAAGAGAGAAAATAAGGTGGTTGGTCCCGTGAGTACTTTACAGCTACAGCAGC